AGGACGGGGGGTGGACGACCCTCGTGGAAAAGCATCGGTCGCGAAAAAGGGGAGGAGAGGGGCAGGAGCCGGGGCCAGAACGGACCGCCGCGAGCACTTAAGACTATTGTTTTCAATGTAATTGGATAGCTGCTGCCTTCTCTCTCTTTGTCTCTCTTACTTCCGCCCGCCTTCCGTTCCGGCAGCCACCTCGATCCCAGAAGAGGGTGGAAAGCAGTCAGCCAGCCGGGGTCCCTCCGTGTAGCTTCAACAATTATCTTGATTGTTTTATGCATACACCAACGAGGCGGACGCGACGCGAGCCACCCCCGGGGGAACGGGAGATGGTCCTTGGATTTGCCAACGAAATACGAGCCGGACGAAAGTCCTGCGCACTTTTCATCTCGCTTCCGTTGCGGTTCGCCTGCGTTCACCTTATCTTCCGTCAATTTTCTACGTACGCCTCTGTCTCTCGAGATTTTACCTGGTGTTTTTAAATGGATGTACTTAGATCGTGATTTCGAAACGATGGAGGCACTTTTGCGTGATAATAAAGTTTCAGTTTAGCGTCTTAGGAATTTTCGATGCGAGAATTCTTTGGTACTTGGCATACTTTAACCAGATTTTTGCCAGACTCGCTTGTTTCTTATATTGGAGACTGTGTTTATGGATGTAAGACAGCAATGATTCGTCGTCTTAACCCTTTGACTGCGGCGTGCTCCAACTCGGAACCGTCAGATTACGCGGCGCTGTACGTCACTGAGACTCGCTGAAAAATACATTGCAAGCACAGGACAATATCGAAATTGCTGTCGATGTTCATTTGCATATGATTGCTAAAACAGCAAATGTGTTGTTCGTATATATTAATGGATCTGTGAAAGCGTACACATACGCCTTTAGCATTCAAAGGGTTAACCGCTGAATTCTCCACATTTCTCCATAAAAAGAAGTCGCGTGTCACATGAACCGGTAGAATTTCAGATTTCTCCTAACTTTCTCTTCTCCCACGAACCCTGATTCAAATCCTCATCCCTAGATTTCCCCACAAATCATTTCTCCTCCAGAAATATCATCTTTTCCAAAAAAAAAAATCGCCATCCCCTCTTCCATTGTTTCCACCGCTCAATTTACCTCCGAGCCCTAGATCCGTGACGATCGATCCTCGTCAAATCCACATCCACGTCTCAATCCACCCGCCCTCAACCTCGATATAACGTTACACCGCGAGCAGGGAAGAGGAGGAGGAGTAAGAGGAGGAGGCTAGAGGTAGCCAGGCGAGATCCGATAGAAACTCCACAGGCAGACAATGCTCTCGGCCGATTTAATTAGGATAAGAATCGCTTGGATCGCGTATACACGGCCGCACAATGGGCTTCCACGTGAGGGGGTGGTGTGAGGGGATGAGAGAGAGAGAGAGGCAAAGCCACGCTTCTGGTGCATGTATACCATGGCTCGCCTCCAAGAAACATGATATACAGAGGGGTCGAGAGAGGAGAGGGCTACGCGGCGGTTTCCAAAAATACCGCAGGCTTCGGTGCAAAAAGTAACGAGCACAGGGGGCTGCAGAGAGAAGGGGAGAGGAAGGTAATGCCGCGAGCGCCACGTGCTAATTATGTAAAAATATGACGCGGTTCGGCCGCGCTTGCGGTGCAGCCGCGGGCTTTTATGCGCAGCCGGATCCGCCGGCGTCCACCGGGGCACTTTGGCATCGGTTCGTGGGGCCCCGATTTTACGTCGAATTTAACGTTCGCTGCGTCCTGCCCGTGAATTACGGCCGATCGTGTCGCCGCGGCCGCGCTAAACCGGGCCTGATTTAATCGACCGCCGCCGATCGCAGCCGAGGCAATGACTTTCGCGCCCGTGGAGCAAGGAAACGATCGAGAGGCTGCGATACTGCTCGTTTTATATGGCGTGTTTAAGAGATTAGGATTAATTGGGACGAATTTAGGATAATTCTCGGTGAATCAGGAATTGGAGAAGGTTTTCGGAAATTTTCAATAAAATTGTGAATTAGAGTAGAAGAGTTTTGAAGAATTGCTGCAAGCGTTTCGTGACAAATGGAGAAAACACGACGTTCGCGATTTTAGTATCGCTGTGGGAATTAGTAGAAGGAGAAAATTAAGATGCACGACACATTGTCCCCGCGGGATCAGCGTTTCGCGTAACATTACTAACGCGATCGCGTGCGTCGCCTGTTTTTAACGTTCCTCGGAGTCCAAGCGTTTCTCATCCGCGATGCAACGCAAGATTGTAAAACAGCGATTATTTTCATGTTTTCGAAACCCGCAATCACACCTTCCACAATCTCTTGAACCCTCGAAAATTCCACCGTAATTGAATTTAAGACGCAATTCGAATTTTTCAAATTTCACCCATCTATTTTTCACCGGAGGGATATCGTAAAAAGTAAATTAACGTCGCATGCGAACCAAGACGTTTGGAGTTCGCGCGTGCTCAAGATCGGGCACGTGTCGTTCGTCTTCCTGTTGCTCTGCGCCCATCGGGGCGGCCTGTGTTGCCGCAAGTGCGAAATTAATGCGAGCAGTAACTTCGCTGGAAGAACGATGAGATTTATACACGAATTTATGGACTCGCGCAACAAGACCGATGGAATAACCGAGGAGTGCATCATTTATGCATCTAGCTCCGCTTTCGCCGCCGCGCCTTTGAGCTGTTGCCAATGGCGCGCTCCCTTTTGCCACTCGTGTTACGGTGAACCATTTTTTGGCGCCACGTGTGGCAGTTTCGAGCACACTTTGATCAAATCTTCAACCGTCTATTCGTCCTAGAATATCCAAATTTCTCGTACTCTTATCGTGAATCAATTACAATCTCTGTCGATATCGCAAAGCTTAACATTTTATTCGTTAAAACAATTACTCTCGGCTGACAAAGTTACTACTGTCACGCCGTAAGAAAGTTTCCCCGAAAAAGGGTGACCGTTAAAACGCGAGAAGGCGAGAAGAAGTATAATTTACAACGAGCCCCCGGTGGCAACTAGCGACAAAGTTGCAACGACCTTTCTTGCGGCCACTAAATCCCACGCGGTTTCCTATTGTAAGGTCGTCGTTCCTGCAGCTTTATCGTCCGGTGGATCCGTCGATTTCTTTCAATAATTCGCGACACCGAGATTATCTTGTAAACCACCTATCCGTGGCCTGTTCATCCACCGTTGACCTTTCCCCCGTATATCTTGGATGGCCCCTCGTAAAGTCTGTCTTTCGTGAAAGCCAATACGAGCATCCTGGATGGATCGTCGTTGGTGCATCTGCGTCGATGCGACAGCACGATAAAACTCTCTCTAGTCCCCTGTTGTGTATGTATACGTACATATGCCTATGTACATACACAGAAGGTGAGCTGTCCTTTTTCTCACCTCTCCTTCCCACTCTCCCTGTTTTCTCTGCTGTATTTCTTTTTTGCCGTTGTTGTTGCTGTTGCCCAGCAATAAATAATATTTCGCAGGTGGGTCCAGACGACGCGGCGCCGGTGTAATGCGGCTGCCGTCGCGCAGATAAAACTTCTCTTCCGTGCATCTATGCGCTCTGTGCACTTACCTGTTACGCGATAAATCACTCGATAAATTGTTTAAAAGCACAGACTGCCGGGGAACGCGGAACGCCTGGGCTGCTTTTCCCTCACTTCGACGCGATGTCGTCGTAAATAACGCGTAAGTTGCGACCGCCGTGCCTCTCCGATGCGCCCGCGTTTAGTAAGGAAGATGTAACATGGAGGCTTTGGTCGCTTTCGAATATTAAGTTGGAGGGAGAGGAAGATTGAATTAAATTGAGTCTCGAGTTTGATGGAATGGAGGTTTCTGTATTTATTCGGGTTTGTTTTATTTGTTGCAGCATCCCTACCCTTCGGAAGACCAGAAGAAGCAACTGGCTCAGGACACGGGGTTGACGATCCTTCAAGTTAACAACTGGTGAGTGATGAAAAAAGATTTGAAGATTTTTCAAATGTTAACGCATTGCCAATCGATCGAGTAGGTCTACTATTTTGCAATAGATAGTGTTTCATGTTCGTGTACTCTGGGAAATTGAGGACTTTGTTGCGATAAGAAGGTAACTTTGTAATTTGCTGAAATTGAATTTTGAAAAATTCAAAGGCAAATTTGATAATTCTATTTTTCCCTCCAATTTTCTAGAATTCTGTAATTATTCACTCGAGATAAGAGAGTTTTCATACTTTATATTTAAAAATTTTGAAAATTCAGTCTTCCATTGAGGAAAGACATTTTTCCATTGCACATATCGATTTCAATTAATTTTTTTAATTAATTTTCTCTCTTATCAGTCTCCGTGCATAAAAATTCTCAATTCTCCCCACAATACTGCAATATTATTCCCCAATTTGTCCAACACAGTCGATTGGCAGTACGTTACCTGCATGCACATGAATTTCGATTGGACACTTTCTACACACTTTTTCACCTCTTACCGAAAGAAATCTCATTCTCTCCTCGTTCAAATAAAATACCAGCCTCGTCCGTCAAACCCAGACAAACAAGCAGAATTTACTCGTTGAAACGGTTCGATCGCGCGAAATACGAGGAACTGGCGTCGTGTGCGAGAGTCGCGAGGCACGCACCGTTTGCGTCGTTGATTTCGAAATTCCCGCGGCGGCTGTCCCCGCGCGGCCATTAAGGCGGCATTGTCGGGCCCGCGGGATTCCTGGCGTGCCCCTTGTCGAAGATAAAGCTGCCGTTTCAATGGGTTTTCTCGGTGGCGTTCCGATGGAAGGAAAGCGAGCGAGCGAGCGAGACTCGAAGCCGAGCGGAAAAGAATTTGACGTAGTGTCGTGTCGCGCAAGAATTCAGGAATTCGATCGTTCGCTACTCGGTATCTAATAGCCATGAATCGTTCCTCTCGGACCCGGGTCTGAGTGTCTTTTCTGATTGAAGAGTATAACGCAACAGTGGCGGATAAATCAGCGGAAAGACAAAGAGAACGTAATACAACAATAAGAAATTACTCCTTCGATATAATACCACCTAGACGGACATTCTTCAATTTCAATTTATCTATTAAGTCACCATTTCCCACGTTCCCTATCCACCAGACAGTCGATCGTCATTCAGCTTTCTCTATCGTAAAGCTTAACGATCACCGGTCTGTCACATTGTTCCACGATTATTTCTTCTTAAACGTATCTGTCCTATATTCACGTTTGCTCCTTCGAGTTTCGAAGCCTCTCTTGGCTTCGACCACACGCGTACTTACACACTTACAAGGTATAGTAACGCTAAGTGTGCATGTACAGTACCACGAGCTCTCGATATTTCCCGCGGGGCGACGGAATAAAACCGTAACACTGTCGAAGCCGGCTGGCAGCGACGTAACGAGACGGTTCGAAATAATATCTCGTTCACGGCGGTGCACACGCTTGGCAGCCAGGTAGGCGAGCAGCTTGTAAAACGTTTATGCCAGCCCGCTTTATGCACCTTTAATCTCGGCGCGAAGTGCCGTACCGGATTATACTAGCTGCTATTATGTAGCGACTTTACGATTTTCGTATCTGGGCCGTCGAGGAAGCGAGACAGAATGGGAGAGAGAGAGAGAGATATCGTCTCTCCCTCTTTGTATTTCACTCGACCGATTTCCAGACCAACCACAACCACCACCGCCTCTTTCTTCTCTTCTTCTTCTTCGTCTGTTTGCTCTTGTTCTCTCTCGTGTTCGAGCGTGTATCGAAACTGGGAATATCGTAAATTCAGTGGGAATTTTGACGCTACCGATAAACGCACTCACCAGCGCGTGTACTCGAGCGAGATTTTCGGTTCCGTTCGCCATAAACGCGATAGGGAAAAATGCGAGACACCGCGAGCCCATTGCCGTACAGATCTCTCTGGCTACACAAGCGTATCGCGCGCTGACCAGGATATTTGCCTGATCCCTCGGCCGATCTCGCGAACAGGCGTTCGCGATCACTGCTGCTGCGCTTGGGAAATCCTCCAATGGACTCTTTTACTCCTTGCAAATCCAAATAATATCCTTCGTTTCTTTTTTTTTTTTCGTTTCGCGTTTGAAAATTTTTAGAAGTTCAGAATTCGTCGTTTTCAAATTTCTATTGTTAAATTAAAGCAAAAGTGCTCGAAGGGGTGAAAGTTAAGGTGAAAGTTTATCAAAAATCACCGACAGCACAGTGAGAGAAAATTTTCAAAGCGCCTATAGCAGTGAAAGGGTTAAAGGACAGAGTTTCTTTTGATTTCTATGAAAATAATCATTTTCATCCGTTTTATTTTTGCGAGAAAAATGTTTCTTTATTTTCTGTGAAAATAATTATTTTAACCTTTTGAGCACTGCAATCTGATAGACATTATCTATGTGTGTGTGAGAAATGGATAAAAATCTTAGTACACGCTATAAAAGTGCAACGTGTTTCATAATATTCCCGATGTAGTGTCACACGCATACTAAAAGCAATCGCAAATCGCGTCGTTTGCAGTGGTTATCCAACTCCGAAGTATTCGATATTCAAAGGGTTAAGAAGGTATATATTGCACCTATTATTTCTCCGAAAAAAAGAGAAAAAAAAACAATCTCGCTCGTTTGAACTTCCACTTTGTCGTTCATACATCCAGAGCCAGCAGAAACAATTATCGTTAGCGCAGGTATTCGACGAACGCATCGCTGATATACGGATCCACTTAAATATCGACCGATTCTCTTCTGTACGGCTCTCCTCATCGGAAAGGCGAACTGAAAGTAAATGGAAAAAAAGTGAAAGAAACCTAGTCGAGATTCCAACTGAACGAAGTTACATTTTACGGTCGTTCGCGTTACCTTACGGCAATTTGCCGTACGCGGAATGCCGGTCGAAACGATCGCAATTAATAAGCAGGCTGCCTTCGTTCCTCTCTTATGATTCATAATGATACGGTTAATCATCCCGACTGCTGTTTATGGCGGGCCAGGATTAGTCTCACGGGATAACGCCAGCCTTTCGTTTCGTTCACCGAGAAACGCGAATTTAATTGCCGATTCACCTTCGTGGGATTATCGTGGCCTGATCTTCGATTTTCTCAGCAGTTTCATGGGAGTGGCGCGTGTTCACGGTTGTTACGGGTAGAATCGGGAACGTTTGATAGAGCAAGCTTTCACGTCGAATCGATAATTTTCGAGGAAATTGGGAAGGGGATGATTGGAAGAAGAGGTGAAGGGGGAGAAACGGTTGTAGCGAGAGGTGCTCGAGGGGAAGGTGATTTTGGGGTATCGGGTGAGACATCTACTTAACGTTATTGGCTGGGATATTTCGCTTATTCGGTGGGTCGATGCAAGTAAAGGATCACACGCGTACGATATGAGAATAGAATACATTTGATCAATGATAGATTGCCTGGCTGAGTCACTTCGATGGTAATGAGCTTATTTATAGAATCTAATAACCCTTTGCATATGGAACAGTGTGTACTATGTCGAGATAACGGTTATTTGCACAACACGTATCTAGATCCTTATTGACACTTTTTTCTAAACCCTCTCCCGTGACTGTACTATTTTTTTCAAGAATTTTCTGTTTATCTACCGATCTGTAATGGATACTAAATTCAGATCAATTTTTCTACTCGAGCGGTGCGTGTGGTCACGAAAGAATTGAATTAGATAATATCGCGACTGTAGTTTAAATGTTTATCTAACGGTGAGATGATCATTTTTATCGAACGTTTGCAAGATTCGTAATACAATGTGTAAGCAAAAGTAAAAATTCGAAAATTGATCCGACGACACGTGACGGGAGAAACTCTCCTGAAAATGTGGCACGTCCTGGAGAAAAGTTAATTCTGCTACGAGGCGGAAAGGGTTAAGACGAGGCAGAGAGCACCCTCGTGAAAGCTTAGTGCATCCTGTCCCGTGAAATCCCCCGTTTCTTCGAGTTGATCCACCGGTTCCACCTCCCCATTCCCCGTCCGTTCTCTTTGCAGAGGACGGAACGTCCCCCCAACTCGTATCTCGCTATCTTGATAGATGTTTCCGCGTAGCACCTGCGCCAGCATCCGAATTACACCGTCCCCCCCTGTTTACCGTGATGTTTAAGCGTCCCTTCACCCTTCCGCTTTTGAACAACTTCTCGGAAAATCCGGCGAAATTTCGTCGTGTCGCCTCTCGCGGTGGCAGGATTGTCTCGAGGATTGGATTTACGTTTAAACGTTTCATAGTTCCACGTGGATTTATCTCGGGGATTTACCGAAGGGACAATTCTTCACGGATAATACCGAAATTTACTATCGCAAATTCTTTTGAAAATCATAGGGAAAATGCATTTTTAACCCTCTTGGCGTGTGTATTTTCAGAAATATCGTATCACGGGAGAAACTTAGAAACCAGAAAAATTTCGTACGGGATTGTCATAATTGGGCCGAAATCTTCTCTAAAATTCGTCGTCACAATACCGCCAGAACGAGCCGTATCTCAGATTCACCTCGCTAAATCACCCAAGTCCAGGATTATTCCTCAACTTTTCTCCGAAATACTTGCGCACAGACGTGTTACGCGTAATTCATTCAGTCAGCGATGCGCCTCAGCGGTTCACTAAACCTCACCAAGGATCGAAATAATCCGCGTTCCTGATTCTGCGTCGTCCACCGACGGGGGGTGGCGGTGGTGAATCAGCCCGGTTCCCGCGGCCGGATATAAAATGCGAAACGAATTGCCCGACGTTTTCCGTCCTCGTTTCTCCCCTCCTCTCTTTCCTCTACCGATCCCGGTCGTGTTCTCGTTGCATCGCGACGCCGCGCCACGGAGACGCGGGTGGTTTGCTGCCGCGCGTATAAATAAAATCGTCGGCGACGTTCGCGAAGAACCGTCTGTCCACCAACGACGAGTTCTTATAATAAGAATGAGAGACTTTGCTTAGCACCAAGAGACACGCCGTCAGGGTTGCGGTATCGTTACAGGAAGAACGAGGAGGGACGAGTGTGCGTGG